ATTTACTTGTTCCTTTTTTACACTAGTTTGCCAGCCACTTTTGTCCCTAGCCAAATGAACCGTGATGGCAACTGAGAAGAAACTGCCTTTTGTAGATAAGGAATAGCATTTTCAAATATCCTTATATAGCATAGGCCCCTAAGTTTCATTTTCCGAAGTAGCTCTTGTGAAAATCTGTGGGACTGGTCCTTAAGTTGGTCTGGGGTTTTTCTGGCATTTTTATCCGCAACCCAGTTTTAAATGTAGTTTTCCCCATCTCCTTAAATGCTTACTTAGTTCATAGGCTCTCCATTGATAGGAATACTCTTTTGATATATTTTGCGGGGAAACTAAAGCAGGAAAAGGTTTTAAGGTAAGCCAGCCAAATAATCTAGTGTCTTTTGATCAGTTTCCATTAGTAGTGAACCAGTAATCTGCCCTATTAGATGTTGTTTGAAAGGAAGTTCAGTGTTTAAAGAAGATAAACATACCAGTTGACATTCAATATGTCTTCTTAAGTCACCAGCAGAAACCTCGTTGAACCTTGTTGGCAGAGGTGCCTTCTGCAAAGGGTTCCTAAAAACACGTCCCCAGCTATTGGATTAGTTTCTGAAATGCAGTGGATCTGGTGCCAGCACTGGACACTTGGTCGAGCTCCAGTTGGAGCTGAAGAAGGTCTGAGTTTTAAGACCTCTAGGATGCCTTTGTGTCCGGAAGAAACTGAGCACTGGAATAATGCGTCATCCAAACTGTGTATTCCTAGAAATTGATGAATATGCTATTTTAATTTGGGGAGCTTATATAGCTGAAGTTATTGAGACATTAGCGCTTAAAAGCGAGAGATCTGCAGCTCTTAAGATTGCCTGGCGCACAGACAAGCGAAGACCTAAATTGCTTTGAGGTGCTGACAGTTATCACAGCTTTGTGCAGACACACCTTTGCCAGTACTGACAGAACACAAATACCAGTTTCACATCACTGTGCTCTTCTTGGCTGGTGTGCAGCCTAAAACCGTACTATACCTTCACAACTTTGGCACAGAAAATGGAAACAAGGGGTCAACAGCAACAGTAGCCTCTTATCAAACAGTTGGTTTTAAATGCTTTGTGTAAAGACAGTATTTTAAAAAGAAATTTGATCTGTTATTTGAAAATCGGACATTTAATACATTACATCACACTCGGTTTCACCCCAGGCCACTCTGCTGAAGTTGCACTGGATGCGAGAGCAGACTTTGGTCCGTGATGAAGGAAAAATATTTTCTTTCTGCAACAGTGAATTCCTCCAAACATCATAGATAACTGAAAAGTCTGTTTCCAAAACAGCTTTGACCCTATATGCAAATAAAATTTCTGTGATTTCAGCTTTTATGCTATTATGCATCTGTGTGACAAAGCACTGGCGTATTAATACCAAGTGCTTCCGAAAGAAACTTCAGGGTAGGTCACAAGTGAAAAGAGGTTGAGACTCCCCCTAATCCACATCATGGACCACCATGTATTTCAGTACAACTGTCAGTAATAGCCTAAGTGCCTATGAAAGTTTCACATTAAGATAAAGAATGTATTGACAGATTTAAATGTATTTAGTCTTCTCAGACTACAGATCCACATCGCAGTTGTTGCTGGCCAGTTCTGTGAGCCCCTGCCTGCAACTATGGAGTTAGAAATGAACAGGCAAACTCTGGCTGATACCCTTGGCATTGCAATGCGGGTATGTTAACTTTACTAATCTGTCAGGAAAAAAAAGTGTCACAGTTTGGCACTCTAATGGCAAAACTAATGGTGTTCCCAGCTGCTGTTAGCACTGGATTTAATCTCAGTACTTTTGCCATTTGCTATTAAAGTGTTGCAGACAACTGAGGAGTGGGAGATTGCACTGGCTTTGGGTAGCTTTCAGAGGAGCTGAGCAGATTCTTTGATTTGCCATGGTTAAACATCCTGATTGCCACAGCATAACTCAGGTTCCCTTTTTTGACTCGGTGACTGAGGTCTGTTGTGAATTCTTCTAATAAAGTGGCGTGCAAGCTTCTTGAATTAAAAATTACAGTGGTTCTGCTCCCCGAGTGCCACAGTGGTGGCACAACAGCAATACTGACCGAAGTCTCTGCTGTGGGTGCATGTCTGCTGCCTTTATCGGTTCTGCTGGACGTTAACCCGTATGTCTGCTCTAAGGGCAGCAAGGCAGGCCCCACAGCAGGCACGCAGCATGACCAAGGCCTTTGTCAGCTGGGATATTTTTTCTCCGACTCCTCTGTTACTTTTCTGTTGTAACGTGCAAGATGTTGTGATGATTTGGGTGACTTTTTTTTAGCCTATGACCTGCGTTTTTACCATTGTAGGCTCTGAACAGGTTTACAAGTTCTGGCTTGCTTTGTGGCTCACCTGGGATAGGTGGTTGTCTCCTGTATCTCCATCAAGCACTAAGCTCACAGGCATTGGTCAGTAAATAACTTCAGTGAAAGGTAAACTCGCCTTACTGCTGTTCCAATTCTCAGTCTTCTGAAAAGCCAGTAGATGGGGTGTGTGCAATTCCTGTGCAAAATCACTGCACTTCTCAACCCAAAGATCCAACTTTAATACATTTTTGCTTCAGAGTCTTCCCCCCCCCCCCGTTAGAGATGGCCCTCCACATGAATCACAAATTTAAGCACTCCTGAGCAGAAGCACTCAAAATTCTTGATTGATACTTATGCTCAGAGTATTTCATGCATGATCTACTGTGCACCTTGCAACACGTTTAGGTCTTTGAAATCTGGGTATGAATTTTTACCATAAGCTTTTTTCATTTTTTTTTTAATTAAACTAGTCATGAACTAGGAGAGTACTGGATAACTGAAAATAGACTGGGTTACCACAGACTTCTGCTTAATTTGAGGCTGCAGTATTAGGTATAGATGCCATGGGGCCAACTATGAAATACACTTCCTCTTTTTGTGTCTCCAAGCCCAGCATGTAAGAGTAAATGTCTATTTGTATGTATAATTCTGTTGATTATGGATGTGAAAATTGAATTTGCTAGCACTGTAAATTAAAATATTTTGCTGTTGTTAATAATGTTAATAATAGTCATGTAAATAATAATGATAATACAGACTGTAGAAAGGGTCGCTAGTCACATCCCAGGGTGGATTTCATGCCTATAGGTCAGTTATGGTAGACTTGAAATACGAAGGAATCTAGAACAGGAGGTGAGTGGGTTTGGGACAAGTGAGTCCCTGAGTTGTCTTCCTCAGGGGAGATCACAGCACAGCAGAGCATGAACCAACATGGAAATAAGCTGGCCCAAGGTCATTTATGCCATTCAAAATGAAACTGCCTAGAGATGGAGTCCTGTTAGGTAGGTCGTAGCTGCTTATACCTGATTTGTGATGGAGAAACCTTCAAACGATTTCATAATAATTAACCAAGGGAACTGTGCTAAAACACAATCCATGTCTGACATGTATGCACGTAAGGAGGGAGTATCTTGCCAAGAAACAAGTTAAAATTAGAATACTATATCAGAATTCAGTTATCTTCTGAGAAGAAGCGTGAATGCTGATGGCCAAGATCTACAGCTGAAGTTTCCCAAGAGATTTTGGGAAGAAATGATGTGCATACAGACATACACTCTCCTCCAAGCTATTAATGCAATTGCAGGAATTTAAAAATCTTCAAATAGCAGAGTAGCCTCAATTAATTCAAGAGAAAAGTTTGATAGTGGAGTATGACGGAGTCCTGAAGGCACTGATTTTGCTTGTGCCTGTGATGAAAGGGGCAAGTAACATGAACCTGTTACCTAGCGCTGTCTTTCAGATGAGAACCACAATAGACGTGTTTTAATCTGGTGTGGTGAAATGTGCCCAAAATACTCTGAGCATTTAACAGTTGCACAAATGATTCACTTTCCTAGCAGTCTGATTTTGTATTATAGCATAAATCTGTTTCCCCTCTGTCTTTAATGTGCAATTCTGCTGAGCGTGCAGTTCACATTGGCTGCCTTGGGCAGACTGCAGGTCAGCTTTTGAATGTAGGAGAATTCATGAAATTTAAGTATTTTGTGTACAGTTAACCGCAGTTGTGCAAGTACAAAGACTTTGCTTTATCAGCAGATGTGGTCTAGGTTTACGTTTATGTCCACATTAAATTCTTACGTTTATTGCAGTCGAGGGGAAAAAAATCAGGAGCTCAGTGCAGTCTCTAACAATCTGCTTTGGTAGCTGGCCAGTCCACTTACCGTTGCGTGAAGCACATGCTAGGGTGGTTCTTTCTTCCATTAACTCTTTGATGCTGGGAAACAGGGATGATTCACACGACATGGGAAGGAGGCGGGTAAAATAAATGCAAGATTAGCAAAAACTTTGTACTCGCCTTGCGCCAAGCCAGGAAGGGATTTGTGTACTGTGGGAATGATTAGATGGTAATGTTTGCTGGACTGCTGTGGCGGACAAGGGATATTTGAGAAGGTGATCCAGCTCTGCTGGAGACTGCAGGGGGAGTGGAGGGCAGCCTTTCCGATTGGAAACTAGAACTGGGTTGGGCACTTTCTGGTTAGTCAAAAGGGTTGCTGGCTGTTGTTGGTGATAGCTCAGCTGTTTCCCATGTGACGTGACTGCATTTCCTCACTTCTTGCCCAAGCTGGTGCTGGAGTTTGGAGTAGAAGGCACTTTGCCAACATCGCTCCTGTCTGGTTAAGGCTTTTTTTTTTGTTGGACTGGGAAGAGATGGGGAGGAATCGTATCCATGCGTGGAGAAATGGTGATGAGAGGAGTGCAGAGGGAAAGCCATGTATCCCTGCTTCCCAAGTGCAGAAGTAACCAGTGCCAACATGGGAGCTTGTTTGTAGCACCTCAGCTTGGCCCAGCCAAGCGTCCATCGTGCGGTGAGCGAAGAGTGGGGTGGGACTTCCTTGCAAAGTGGTTAATGCAATCTCCAAATGCTATGAGGGGGAGTCACTCGTGAGCAATGGTAGGAGCTTTTTTCCCAGGGTTAAGTACTGTGCTGTCCTCCTTTAAACCAGAGAGATGAGAGTCCGGGAGAAGGATATGAAAAATAGATTAGCTTAAATCGAAACCTGGCATCTGGAACACCTCGAACTTTGGCAGACCTCAAGATAATACTTCAAAGTTGTTCAGCCCCACAAGGTACAGTATAATTTTCTGTTTGGTGAAAGTATTACTCGGGAACTGGAGTCTGTCTTGGGGCTTCCTTGTGCTGGACGCTGTCACACTAACTAGAAGATAGCTCCTGGCTGAGCTGACTCTGAGCCTGCACGCTCTGAGCTGCTTACATGCCTGTTCTCCATCTCCCCAAATACTTAGCAGTAAACATTTACCCTGAATTGGTTTTACCACATTGGGCAACAAAGTGTAAATATACCGGAGCCTTACTGAACCTAACTGTCTTCACTCTCCTGAAATGATCTTCCATATTTTGAAATCATTAAAGCCAAAGCAATGTAAATATTCTTTGTTTCATGACAGAATGAAAGGAGCATGGCCTCCTAATTACCCTGAAATTCAAATGTATGCAGGGGCACTTGGAAAGCGCTGGGCTCCTTCAGCTCCCTGCAGTTTGGCAGGTGTCTGTCTCATTACTTGATTGGATCTGGGCACTGAAGAGAAATTTACCACATTGGCTTATCTGTGAATTTACCATTCTGACATTGATGGGGTGATTCCCTGAGTTTAGTGCTCAGAGGCAGAGAACATCTTTCCACGGACAGTGAGTGCCTGTAATTCTCACCGTCGTACGCGGACCCGCTTTCTTTTTTGGCAGTTTACAAGGGAGGAAGCAAGTCAGCCTAGTTCAGTTTTTTTAGCCACGTGTGTTTGGAGCTCATTCTGAAAGACGGTTAATACATGCCTGCATGTAGGTAGGATTTTAGGTTGTAAGATTACTAATTGGTTTCAGTGTTGTTTGCTGCTGAATGTTGGGGTTTTTTTAATCTAAGGTAAAAAGAACATCATTATTTTTAGTTTATAACGAAAAACACATTTTCTCTTAAATGTCTTGATATGAAGGAATTTAAATTTCTGCACAAATAGTTTCCAAGAGATTGGCTGTCAAGTACGATAAAAAAAATCTGCACTTTTGCAGGGACCCAATAAATTTAGATTTATTCTCAATGTTAAATGTGGTGAAGATGTCATTTTTAAACAGCACTTTTAGAAGTAGTTAGCTTAAAAGTATAGCAATTCAAAGCACAGAGGGAATGATTTTGAAGTGTAAAGTCTTGAAACACAACGCAGAGGTTGACAGTTTCACTACAATTAGAAGCAAGGCAGGCACAACTCCCACTTCTGAAAACTTTCCTATCGCACTGCTTCCTCTCTTGGCCTAGAAAACCTCAAAAAAACCCCTTTGAGTGGCTTTGCTTATTGACTTAACACAGTTATACTCAATAGCATTAGGAGACAGAGCAGAAAGGGCTGCCAAATCTGTCTGTAAAGAACAATCTTTACAGAAAGCTTCACAGAGGTATTTTTTTTTCACATGCTTTCAGTCTCCTGAGAATGCTGCTTTTTTCAGGAAAGCAAGTTTTAGGGTGGTTTGTTTTTTTTTTTTTTCCCCCCTTTTTTTTTTTTAACAAGGCTTGTTTTGTTAGGAAACCACTCCCTTCTGCTTCTGCATTTAGACTCGCTGCTAATTGCCTTTTGGTCGATGACATTTTCCATGAATTGCCACGTTCTCCCACACTGTTACAACTTCACACTGATTATGTTATGTTATGTGACACTTCTGCCTGCTGCCTTTGGGAGGAGTGGCTGAGAGAAAGATATGGTGTACCTGGGAAATTGAGATTCCTTGCTTTCTGCGAGAAGTTCGCTGGAACCGAGTTTTGTAGCTGCTAAGACGTGGCAGAGGCTATTCCTCCCAGACTAAGATAGGTGGCTAGGGTAGGTGGGATCAGGAGGGCATCCTGTTACTGTGTCGGTTTAAGCACCGCTCTGCTGTGTGCCGCTGCTGAGGATTTTGTATAAGAAGTCATGACAAGGTGGTGTGTGGTGTGTCAGGCTGATATTTTTCATCCCAGCTGCACGCTGTAGTGGAAAGTCAACCCCAAACCCTGGTGCCAGAGAGGGTGCGGGAGGGGGCAGTCTTTGCAGACACTTCTGGCTCACTGAGCCCCTTGGGATGCCCACCGAGCCTGAGCTGCAAGCCCATTTTTTCCTCCAGGGCCTGGGGACGGCTCAGGTTTGTCCTTAACCCAGCTCTATCCTCTGCAGTAAAACCTCCCGGAGCAGCTGAATATAAGATCATTGCTGATTGAAGCTCGAGTGCTGCCGACATGAGAACTGGATGTAACAGAGTTGTTCAGCACAGCTAATCCACTTAAACTGTGGAGCTGATCTGCTCATCTGCAGGGGTGATGGCGCTCTTTGGTGGGATACCTAAAGAGGCTTTGGCTTGAGCTAGCTCTTCAGGGCAATCAAAATCTGCAACTAGGGTTGAGGATCTGGTTACATTAAGTTGGTCCTGACCCAACCAAATGTGGTTAGAAGTGAGAGGTTAGGTGAGATAAACCCCTCTACTTAAGCCTTGTCTTAGCTTGGGAGCTGATCAATGCGTTCGAGTGCTTTTCCAGTCTAACTGCTTCGATCAAAGGTAGGGCTTACTTGGTTTCTGAACTGGGATGAGCTTTGCCAGTAAAAGCCCTGTTTTTAACTGGGATAATTACATCCACACTGCTAGCAGGTAAGGTTTCTGCTTTAATCATGTCACTGCACATAAAGGTACAGATCTTTTACAGGTAGAAAAACTGTGATTTCTGATGTAGTAAGCGTGGTTGGGTCCCACCTACACTGTGGCTATTGGCAGCGGTGCAGGATGAACAGCTGGTGTTGTAACAGGATCTCTGACTACATTAAACTGTTGTCCAGCCTGTGACATGAGGGTTTTCACTCAAAGAGGTGGTTAAAAAATTCAGGTCCATCTGACACACCAGCAGCAGCGGTGGCTGCAGGCAAGCCCAGTGTGGCCTTTTCTGCCACGTGATGGTTGGTAGGGGTGGCTGCAGCCTGCAACAGCAGGCAATGGGCACTGCTCCTGCCCTGCTGCTGTTTATCCTGGATAAACCCTTTATTTGCTCAGTCTTACCCTTTTTTGCGGTTGAGGGGAAAGGAGGGGGAGTATGGGGAGAGGTGTGTGGTATATGTACACTGCTGAGTCCTCTGCTGTCTTCCCTGAGGTACCAGAAGGCATCTGCAGAGACTAAAACTTGGTTGCCTTTTGTGAAAAGGGCTTGTAATGTTCCCGCAGACGAAATTCTTCTCTGCAGCTAATCCCCACTTGCCGCAGGGAGGTAGAAACGGGAGCACCGTGGCTCCAGTCGATTCTGGTCCCACTGCAAGCCGATGCAACCAGGGACCATTCTCACACCAGCCACATGCAACCTGTACCCCGGGATACAGAGACCTGCTCCCTCCTTTCCTTCAGCAGCAGAAAGAGGCAGAAATGAAGGCAGGACTCTCTCTAAATTTCAGGAAAGGCCAAAACTTGTCAGTTGGAATAAGGAGAGAACCAGGAAACAGGAGCACCTGTATTGCATAGCTTTGGGCAGGTCAATTATCCCTTCTCCAGTGAAATTGCCCTTTCCATAAGATATGAATAATAATGCTCAACTTACCTTGCAGGAGTGTTATGGAGCGTGCAGTTAAATTCTTCTTTTTTTACAGTGTTTGTAATATGTAAAACCCTAAATGAGTGCTAAGTATTATTGTGATTTAATTTTATTGAGGGTTAAACATTGGTGACGTGCCCAGCTGAGTATTCGCTGGCAGCGAGCTAAGCAAGTGACCAGCAGCAAGTGTGTTTGGCAGCAAGCAATGGACAAAAAAAGAAAACGGGGCTAACTTATTCCAGTCCTATGGTTTTTTTTTTTTCTCTGTTACCACCGTACGTTTCCCATGAAGCAGATGGAGGTGCTCAAAATATCAAATTGGAACTCTATATTTTAATAGACTTAAATTTTACTGTATAAAAGGCAAATAAAGGTTAATGGCATGAAAATTCATCTTGTAGGAGGGTGAGAGAGTGGAAATGCCTCCAAGCGTGCCCTGAATGGTCCTTAAATGATAGCTTTCGGAAACAGATCATAGCTGAGTAGTTACATGGCTGATTTTTCACTGGGGGGGAGTAACATGCCCAGGGTGCTGGTTCCTGCACGTTTCATGCTACTGTTGATGAGGGTTTTGCATTGCCAACAAAGTGGACTAAAAACCTGGAGGAAAATCACTTGGACAGGGTTGGTACCCCGTGGCAGCAGCACCAGAAAGGGAGTGTGCAGGGTATGTGTGTCTGCGGGCGCGCGTATTGGGGGGTGCGCCTGAGTTTGAAACATAAGTCAGTGCCAGACTCTGATGTGTTTCTGTGTTAGAGCTGCCGAGTGTAAGAGAGGGAGAGACAGTGTGTGTGATTTCTCCAGCTTGCTCTAATTTTGTGTGAAATGGGGGCTTTCCAGTGGTGGGGTTACTCCAAGTGTGATCACACCAGCAGGTTTCACGTTGTACCTCAGTGTGCATGTGCCTCCCATGCGTTTTGTTACTGCCTGCTCATTCTTGTTAATTTTTATTAGGTGTGAAATGCAAAGGCTTGTCCTAATTACCACTGGTAGATGATAGCACGACTGAATAACAATCTTTCGATAATCAGGGCTAACTTCTGCCCTCGGATAATTATACATCAGGGTCACTGGAGCTGGTGTATTCCTGGTAGGGAGGAAGGATTTGGCCCACGCTTTCTCTGTATGCATTAATTCACTGTCTTTGCTCTGTGACAGTGTCCTGACGAACAGGTCCAAAGGTCAGCGAAGCAGAGAAGGATCTTTCCAGTGTCTTTTTTTAAGCTTTGGGCCACAGTCTGCGTCCTACCCTTGTTCTCATTGCATTTGAAAACATCGCTTGGCCCTGGATTTTCTCAAGGTTTGCTTTCTTCCCCAGGTCTAAAAGCTGTAATGGTCACTTACCCAAACATAGTGACAGCATCAACTCCACAGTTAAGTTCCCGTTTAGTGGTGTTTCTGAAAATATCAATTGCTGCAAGAAAACAAATAGTAGAGATGCAGCATATGTTGTACATAATGAAAATTTATTGCCTTTTTTTTAAAAATTACAGTATAAAATTTAGGGGGTAAATCTCAAGT